ATAATCACTTTATGTTGGGAGTTGAATAAGTATATTCAACTCCCAACACACACACACCCAGTCTTCTCTCTGTGTGTCTGTCTCTTAGAGCTGAATTTTGTTTTATACTAAAATGAGATACAAGGCAGCAAATATGTAGGATTAATAAGTATAAAGATCTAACATACAACATGAGAACTGTAGTTGTAGAGTAATAATACTGTATGGTCTCAGGATTTTGCTAAATGAGTAGATGACAGCTGTTCTAGCCACAGGTGACAAACAGGTAACTACATGAAATCATGTGTATGTTCATCTGTCTCAACATAGTAACCATTTTGATACATATATTTTGTAACATCAGGTTGTATGCATTTAATACAAAAAATAAAATTTATTTTAAAACAAATAAATAAAATGAGCTTCATCGGTTTCCAAACACACAGAAAAGTTCTGGGAAATAAGTCTGCTCTACCTATTATTTCATAAAGTCAATAAACTCAAATGAAAAAAACATGCTTCTACTGTTGTTTGTGTGTATTCTGTAAAGCATCAAAAAATTCAGTCTTTTCTAAGTTAAATAAAACCTGTATAAATTAGTTTTATTTAAGACTCTGTTCCCCACTGGAAGATGTTTTAACTGCTTGACCAATTATCTTAATTTTAACCTGTGGCTTTTGTGAAATAGGTAGCAGTGGCACCAAGAAGCCACATGAAAAACTATTCTAAAGTATCAGATGTTCAAACAGCTATGTCTCATGCAATATGTGTTCAATCACCATTATTAAAAACGTAATAAAGAACCAAGATGATCTGCTAGCCCTGAGGATTCAATGTTGTGCTGGACAAAAATAAAATAAAATAAAAAGCGTCTTTTCATCTTCAGTGTCATGCAAGTCATAAGGCCAGAAGCCATTCTCAAAACTCTCCTTCACTCTCTATATATGCAGGGCCTCCTCTGCATATATAGATTTGAGTTTTGAGTTCCTAGGGCTATGCTATCCTAACATGAAAATACTACTAAGGAAATGACAGTTTACAAAATCAGGCCCTTCTTAAATACCCTTTCCACTTTACAACAGCTGCTATCTTTATACCAAATTAGATCAATTATTTGTCAGGCTCCCCTCCCATGATTGCTGGGTATTGAGAACATCCAAGCCAAGGACACAAGACATGGAAGATATGACAAGTCTATCATTTGGTTTCACACACTCTTTGGCCAATACTACAATATCCTGGAGGAATTTATGACTGTTTGAGAGACAGGGCCCAGGATTTTCACAACATTTTCATTCCATTTTAGGCTCCATAGTCCCATTTTCCCTGGGCCATTCCTACAGTTTTATGTTCAGCATTACTGAACAACTTACAGTTCCAGGAACAACCACTGCTGCTCATGCCACACATCTTCAAACACTGTTTCCCCTGCCAAAATGCAATTTGCTCTGGTCTTGCCACCCTGGTGATTCTTTATTAACCATCAAACTTATCTCCTTTGTCAACCTCTCCTTACCCATTCTGCATGTGATTCCTGCTGTCTCTCACTTTGCACATGTTTGTATTTGAATTTTCAGAAGCTAGCTTGTGCTATACACAAAATCAACCAACCAGAAATGTACTTGAATTTATTTAAGCTATTTATGATCGATACAACTCATGGTCAACTTCTGGGCCTCATCTCTCCCTTTACCTCCTTTTCTTCTCCAGATACACACACACACACACACACACACACACACACACACACACACACACAAGCACACACACCCAACTCATCAGAGACATCTGAAAAGAGGTTATAGTTAAACAGCCTATTTGAATATCTGAGGATAAAACTCCCTAAATTTTACTTGCTGTTTGAAATTTGAGAAATTTTCCCAAAATACCCTCACAGTGAACAGAAAAGCAGGCACTGAATAAACAATAAAAGCATTCTTCATTTACAGACAGGCTTTGAATCTTTCAGGGCATCTGCCAATAAAAACAAATCCAAGATAAACAACCCATTATTTATTAATCAACAACAGTGTGCTTGGCTCTATGAAAAGCACAATGGCAGGCATTCTGGCTCACACATTTCTCTAATCCTGGGGGTCCACACAAGTAATACAACCTAGGCAGTTTCCAGTGGGGCTGTCTTTAAGAAACCAGTCTGGGTTTCTAGAGTACTGTGAGTGAGTCAGCGGCTGCCATGCTGTGATGACGGGACACTCTAGATTCCAGGATTCATACACAGGGGTGGCAATTCCACAGATATAGCCAACTTCGATGAATAGCCACCTATGGTCTATTCTGTTAGTGAAACAACTCAAAAGCCCAGAGAAAGGTTCAAGTGACACAAGCTCATTGAGTTTTGGGATCCACAAAAGGAAGAAAATCAGAAATAAAAAGAAAAAGTTTGTTTCCAGTTGAACTGGTCTTGCCACCCTGGTGATTCATTTGAGTTTATGTATGTACAAATGAGAATATTTAAACCTTAAGAAAAAAATAAATTTTCCTGCTATTAGACATTATCTGTACATTCTAATTTACTTTTTATCTCTTCAAATAAATGGGAACATGGAACCCTTAGCTTACTTTGCATTGCACATCCAGTCAATGGCTTGTGGTTCAAAAAATCCTTAAATCTGTTTGACAATAAAGAGTGGGGGGGCGGGTGTGGTGGCTCATGCCTGTAATCCCAGCACTTTGGGAGGCTGAGGTGTGCAGATGACAAGGACAGGAGTTCGAGACCAGCCTGGCCAATATGGTAAAACCCTGTCTCTACTAAAAATACAAAAATTAACTGGGTATGGTAGCAGGTGCCTATAGTCCCAGCTACTCCAGAGGCTGAGGCAGAAGAGTTACATGAACCCAGGAAGGGGAGCTTGCAGTGAGCCGAGATCATGCCACTGTACTCCAGACTGGGCAACAGTGCGAGACTCCATCTCAAAAAAAAAAAAAAAAAGAATGGGGATGGGAGTCTTATTAACTGGATTTGTACTTTCTTTACTAGTCACAAAATACTCTTTGTGGAATAGATATCTACAGGCAGAAATTTTGCAAAAATGTTTCAAAGCTTAGTAATTTACATAATTAGTTTTCAACTCTCACTTCCATACAAAGTCTCCTAACAGGAAAAGTACAAATGTCACGTGGTTAGGGTTTCAACATTCTGAACACTGGTATTTTCTCCATATAGTATAGACAAAAGAGTAAACAGTTGTTCTCTACAAATCTCAGGCAGCACAGTCACTTCTGGGAGGCTGGGGGTGTAACGCTGCACATCGTTGCCTGATGTGCATGCCAAGTCAATGTGCTGAGACCCTGGGCTGCAGTAGAGAAAGAGGTTTAATCGTAGTAGGGCCACTGAACAGACAGAGGAAACCGCAAATCCATCTGCCTGAGTTTGGGGCTAGAGTTTTCAAGGGTTTGGGAGTCGGCTGAAGTGCACAGATTGAGTGGTTGATGAAAGCAGGGTAAAGTCATAGGACAGGTAGATGAAGAAACTATTCTTAGGCTGATTCAGTTCTTCTGTGAGGGTCTTTAAACTGGGTGGCCTTTAAACTGGGTGGCCTCAGCTGTTAAACTGGAATTCAGGATCCACTTAAATAATTCTTAAACGAAAGCCTCATGATTCTAATACCAGAGATCCAATTTAAGGCCAGAAATACAATCTATAGGAACAATGGAGATGCAAATGGTCAGTATCCTGTTAAGTGACTTTCAGTTACAAGGAAGTGGGTCCAAGCACAGACTGATTAATGCTTAATTATAACTATATTTCTGTCCAGAATTAGTGTTAGCCCTATGAACATGGCTTCAGCAGGAAGTAATACTGTAAGGGAAAAAATGGGGTTGGGGAGTAAATTTTTTTCAGTAGTACTCAGCCAAGATGCTGTTACTTTTCACTGAAATCCAGGGTGGGATGAAAAGTGCTCCCATCTACCAAGAGCAGCTTCAGAAGAAAAGAGAAATATGTAACATGTGTCAGTCAAGAAAGATCAAAGTGTGTAACCATTTGCAGTCACAAAACCTGGCTGGTCAAGGTGACTAAGTGGCCCACACAGGAACTATCAATAAGGTAATCACTGTGGAGTGAATGAGAGTTTAGAGGGGAGAATGTGACTCCCAGAGGGCTGAGAATGTGTGTGCTATGGTTATGGTAGGCCAGTGGCTATAAAGCCAAAGTTGTGACGTTACAGCAGGTAGCTAGTCAGGCATGAGCAGGGCAGGAGAGGGCTCCACCCGTCCAGGAATGTCAGGCGACCATCAGATGATGGACAGGATGTTGTCAAATGTTTCTCTAAAACAGTAATTGGTCACAGCCAGTAAAAGGGAAAGGCAGTCTCCATATAGACAGACAGAAACCTGCAACTGGCGATCAGCAGCTTCCCAATAAGATCTGGAGAAATGGGTGAGTGAGCTCAAGCATGCACATTAAGAGGCAAAATGGTGGAGTTTAACTGGTATGTGACCTTCCTCTAGGAATGCTAGACTGGTAAGGGAAGAAAGCCTCAAGTAAGTACGGGCACAATTCCCGTAAACACACTGCCAGGCTCCTCTCCCAAGCGCTAGTAGGCCACTGCGCATGTGAACAGCCCACCCCAAGGGAAGAATCAGGGGAGACGGGACCCAAGACCCGGGAAGTATGCCAATGGATAAAACCCCAAGTCAAAAGGTCAAACTGCACACTAACCATTCGAGTCACCAGCCTGGCCCTCTTCCAGGTACACATTCCTTCCTTTTGTTCCTGCCCTAAGGCTTTTTAATAAATTTTCACTCCTCTAAAACTTGTCTGGGTCTCTCCTACCTTGTGCCCCTCGGACGAATTCTTTCTTCTGAGGAGGCAAGAATTGAGGTTGCTGCAGATGCACTGGATTCGCTACTGGTAACAGGCACACAGAGAAGTCCTCCCCCTCCGCCCACTGGTCTCCCTTAAGGAGGAAGCGGCTAACGAAAAACTGCATCTCTGAGAGCAAATATGGAGTCCAGCAAATAAGACTGCACTGAGGGCAAAGGAGCACCACCATAGTAACAGCGGAGAAAGAACTCACGGGCACTTTGGGGTCTCAAACATACTGCAGCCTACCGGGGTAGGATCCAGGAGAGGGAAATGCATCAAGTCAAGATGGTGGAGGAAGGGAGAAAAAATAAAAACAAATCAAGATATAAGGTAACTCTTTGCTAGATTCTAATTCCTTTAAGAGAGTTATATAATTTATTGCTATCAATATGATAGCCAAACAGTGTCTGCCTCTGATTTGGCTGGGGGTAGCATAGGAAATTTTCGTTTTATCTGCCGGTAAAGTTTAAAACAAAACAAAAAAACACTTCTGACCTCAGAAAACAAGTATTTTTTTTTTTTTTCTTTCAAAGAAAAAATCCTTTGGTCTACTTTCTGCTTAGGGTCACATTTATATCATTTATTTCCTGGCTTCAAGGATGGAGGGTGTTCAACAGCACAGGCTGTTCAGCTACAACATAGGGATTTAGCCAAGTTATCTTACGCTGAAGTCCTCACAGCACTACACTCCTTTTAAGAAATCCTAATTTTTATGTTGAATTTACTGATTTAAAATGTTAACATCAAATAAAACTAAACTATAATTTAGTTGAAAATGAAATAAAACTAAATTACAAATGCATTTAAAATCCCTTCTCTTTATTATAATGCTACTGTAACATTAACAAGATCAAGGTCCTTATGTTTAAGATAGAAGCAGATAAAGTAGGGGTGCAAGGGCAAATACAAATCAAAAACAAAACGTTCAATCCTCCCTGTTGAAAGGAAGAACATTTCCCTCCCTTTTTCTTAGAGCATTTACTTCAGAAAAATTATAATTGGAAATACTTTTCTCTCTCTTTGAAATGTATATAATATATTCTTTTGAAAACTAAATAGGCCTTTTGCCAGCTTTATGATTCAGGAATGTGTTTCTCAAGGACCTGGGAGCCATCTCTTTGAAATGCAAATATCAAGGGAGATAGCATCCCTACCTCCCAGTTTCTGTGGCAGGGTAGGAACCTGACTTCATGGGCACCTTGCTCCAAGATGCAAAATTAACTTCTGTCCTAAAGATAGAAGTTTCTTTTTCTCCTATGAATAAGGCCAATTAGCTAACACGATGGTCATCCCAATGACCATAGTAAAGGTAGGGCAACTTATGTGTGACAAAGGTGCTTAGGTCTTCTTACTTGAGGACTTACTGTTTATCATGTGAACATGCATGTAATGGGTTGAATAGGCTGCAATGTATAAAAGGGTGAGGGTCTTTTGTCTTTCCAATCTCTTAGCAGATGTACATCACAATCTGGTTTAACACATATTTAATAAGAAAATATTTTCTCTATCTCTGCTATTTTTGTAAAGAGGATTTCTGGGTTGGGAGAAGGTTTTGTTTTTAATTATCATTCCCCAACAGAGGTAATTATCTAAAATCTTTTCCATTTAGTTCTAAGAAGCTCTGAACTTACATTTAAATAAATATTTACACATATATGGGAGACATCTGACATTCTGGGATATAAGAAAAATTTAATAATGACTGTAAACATGAAAATCCAAAATCTAGAGCTTCAAAATGACCCACTTTCCCCAATCTTCACTCCATATAAAACTATCCCCTGAGCCATTCACTTCTGAGATAGGTATCATACTATTATAATGAGCAACAATGTATGCCCACAAAGGAAATGAAATCAGTATACTGATGAGATATGTTCACTGCAGCATTATTCACAATAGCCAACTTACGCAATCAATCTAAATTATCTGTCAATGGATGAATGGATAAAGAAAATGTTGTGTATACATACGCAATGAAATATTATTCAGCCTTAAAAAGGAAATCCTGTCATTTGTGATAGTATGGACAAACCTGGATAAATACCACATAATCTAACTTATACAGTACATGTAGAATCTAAAAACGTCAGACTCATAGAAACAGCACAGAACTGTGATTACCAGGAGGATTAGCTGGGGGAACTGAAGGGGAGGAAGGGAGATGTGGGTCAAAGGGTACAAAGTTTTAGTTAGGATGAATAAGTTGTAGAGATCCACTGCACATCACGGTGACAACAAGTTAATAACATATTGTATACCTGAAAACTACTAACAGAGTAGATCTTAAATGTTTTCACCACAAAAAATGGTATGTATGCAAGATGATGGATATGTTAGTCTGACTTAATTATTTATGTACCCATATAGTAAAACATTACCTTGTATACTGTAAATATATATAATTTTTATATATCAAAGGAGTGAATACTGCTGACACTTTGATTTTGAATATTTAGCTGCAGAACCATGAAAGAATACATTTATGTGGTTTTAAAAAAAATGAATGAATGCACACACAAAGCTACCCTAGAAAGGAAGGACAAAAGAAAGAATTGTGTGCAGCACTGAAAGCTCTTTTCTGAGATTCCCGTCAAATAGACCATTCGGCTAACTGAACTGACAGACAAAATGTGTCTAAAATTTGAATCTACACACCCACTCGATGAGGAAGGGTGGAGGACCGGAGGCCATAGGCATAGTTTTAGGTGTCTATAAGTTTTCTGTGAAAAAAATTTTTTTTTTTTTTTTTTTTTTTTTTTGAGACGGAGTCTCGCTGTGTCACCCAGGCTGGAGTGCAGTGGCGCGATCTCGGCTCACTGCAAGCTCCGCCTCCCGGGTTTACGCCATTCTCCTGCCTCAGCCTCCGAGTAGCTGGGACTACAGGCGCCCGCCACCACGCCCGGCTAGTTTTTTGTATTTTTAGTAGAGACGGGGTTTCACCATGTTAGCCAGGTGGCCGGGCGCGGTGGCTCAAGCCTGTAATCCCAGCACTTTGGGAGGCCGAGGCGGGTGGATCACGAGGTCAGGAGATCGAGACCATCCTGGCTAACATGGTGAAAATTTTTAATACAGTGTTCTTATTTGTATGGTGATAAAATAAACTCTAAGTCACTCTAATCACACCATATGTCTGAAGGGGGTCATACAGTTTCAAGGTCTATATTTGAGTTTGTGTTTATAAGCCCCTAAGATACTTAAGCAAATGTCAAATGTTGTGCTGGAGGGACCTTTCCATCCACCACTCTATCTGGTTTGACTGTCAATCACCCAATTGGTCAAAGAAGAAGTGTCATGTGTTTCCAACTGGCCCATGAGAGTGGTGTCATTGGGAATAAAATTCCTAACGCTTATAGGTCTTATACCAACCAGCAAACAAAATATTTTACAAATTAATATAAGATATATACATGTAACATATATATATATATATAACTTACAAAACAATCACTTAAGATGCAGTGATCTTTTTTCCCCCACAAAGGAAAGAGCCAGAGTCTTTCTCTTTCCTTTTATATGAAAGCTATCAAGAAAGATCACAGCACTGAAAAGATGATGTGAAATCTGGCCCACAAAAGCCATTTTCAATGATCACATAATGGAGGACGCCATTAAAGGATGGGGCCAAAACCTAGAGTAGCAGCACTGAATGAAGACCAGGACATGAGAAGCCTGATAGTACTGTTTGAACCTTTACATGAAGCCACAGTCAGGAGAACATATAATTTATCTTCCAAGTAGGGACTTTCGAGAGTTAAAGCGGACACAAGGTCAACCAGACTGACCTGGGCCAAGTAGGAAATATATCATTCTAGTTGTAACTGCAGACAAATCCACCTTGATTTCCCAGCTATGAAAGCCAGGTATGAGGTTGCTTTCTGTCACATCGACCCAAAGAGTCTTGATTATCCCTGTGCCAAGTAGTAATACTTTAATTATCTTGAGCTAACGAGGGAGAAACAAAGGAGGTTAACGATGCATCTGTACCAAGTGAAGGCCAAATAAACACTCCACGCTGCATAAAAGAAAGTTACAGAATTTTAGGTAGAAAAAGATGTGGGAAAATTTGGTATTATACAGCCCATTGCAGAAGAGGTATGCCAAATCAAAAGAATCAAATTGCACGTGCAATTTATTGTAGCTAACATACCATTACTTCTCATACTAATTTCACATTTACACTTTATACATATATATACACACACACACATACACACACACTTTATAAGAATGTTTTGTTTTACAGTTCATGTAAGACCTATAAGGGTAAGAAACTTTACTTCCTATCACAATTATACATACACATTTATGAAAATAATTTAGAACCACACAAGAGGAGGATGTTTTTCTTCATCAGGAAATCATACACTGCTTTGTCTAAAGCTCAAGTCTAATTGCTCTCATGTTTTTCCTAAGCTGTTTTCTATTAAGGACTGGCAAATAATTAACATATACAAACTTTTTCAACATTTCCTCTGCTAAGCTACAATTCTCCATGGGCCTCTCTCACATTTGTGAACATTTGTGAGCGGAGTCATGGACTACCTATTCCTATCTTTTCAAGGGTATTTGTAGAGACAAGACACTGATAATGTCTCCCTCTGTGGCAGAAAATAGGTTTACTGTCCAGTATAATAAAGGCAATATATCCTCTGGGACAAAGGTCAGACTGACTTATTTTTAAAAAATTGCGATCCCTAAAGTCAGGGTTCCTCTACTATAATATAACCCACCGCCTGTGTACCTGTCACCTGGCACTGTTCATGCTGCCCTTACAGACTGGGTCAATCACCACTAATGCCGATTCTCTGGCACAACTGCTGTATTAAAGTCATTTTTCGTCTCTAAATGAGGAATTTCTTGTTTTTTCACAGCATTCATGAAATGGTGGTATGGTAAATTGTTAGCTTATATGTAGAGGAAAGTCTCAGACATTGAATAATTTCTGACAAACTATTCTGCTTAATATTTTTTAATTCCCAAATTTCTGGCAACTAAGGATACTACACTTCCAGTATCTTTACACCTGAACTACATACATGTCTTTTTAAAATTCTAATATTTTTCCTTCCCAAATGGCAGGTAAAACAAGGTTGCCTAATAAACCAAAGAAATAAGTAGAACAGTGGTTCTGAAACGATGATACCAGTATCTGCATCACCTGGGGATTTTGTTAGAAATGGACATCTCAGGCCCCATCCAGTGTTTACTGAGTCAGAAAGAAACTCTGGAGGTGAGGGGTCCAGTAATCTGTGTTTTAACAATCCCTCCAAGTGATTCTGATGCATGCTAAAGATTGAGAGCCACTAAGGAAGAAAAAGAAAAAGGTCACCTCCTTTTTTCTTGATTAGTTATCATAACACAGTCATTAAGTTGCTAGTTATTAAAAAAGAATACACAATTCTAATGAAATAATATTTTCCCTTCCCTCCCCAAAATAGTAAGACAAGTAGCACTGTTTTGCATTTCTGCAAATAGCACAATAAAAGGCAGCTGGATTCTAGTATCTACTTCTGCATTTAATATACTGTAATACATTACACTTTGGTTGAAATATATGAAGAAAATCCATTTTCACATAACTGAGTTAGAAAAGGGACGAGCATTCAATAGCATTTTAATTATAATTATGGATAGTCTTATTCTATGTCATAATTTGAGAAGCGGTAACTTCTTAAAGTTTGATTATTACAGTGTAGAATCTGAAACGATTTCTACGAAGTTTTCTTACTTTTGTATAGGCATACCTCAGAGATATTATGGGTTCTATTCAAAACCACTGCAGTAAAGAGAATATTGCAATAAAGCAATTCGTAGGAATTTTTTGGTTTCCCAGTGCATATAAAAATTATGTTCACACTCTACCATAGTCTATATTAACTCTGCAATAGCATGATGTCTAAAAAATGTACATACCTTAATAAAAAATACTTTATTGCTAAAAAAACGTTAACAATCATCTGAGCCTTCAGCAAGTCACCATCTTCCGCTGGAGAAGGGTCCTGCCTCCATGGCGATGGCTGCCAGCTGATCAGGGCAGTGTTGGGGAAAGTTGAGGTGGCTGTGGCAATTACTTAAAATAATACAATAACAAAGTCTGCTGCATTGACTGATTTTACCTTTCAAGAAAGATTTTTCTGTAGCATGTGATGCTCTTTGAACAACATTTTACCCACAGCAGCAGAACTTCTTTCAAAAGTGGATCCAATCCTCTAAAACCCTGCCACTGCTTTATCAACTAAGTTTATGTAAGATACTAAATCCTTTGTTGTCATTTCAACAATGTTCACAGCATCTTCACCAGGAAAAGACTCCATCTCAAGAAACCATTTTCTTTGTTCATCTACGAGAAGCAATTCCTCCTTCTTTAAAGTTTTATCATGAGACTGCAGCAAATCATTCACATCTTCAGGTTCCACTTCTAATTCTAGTTCTCTTGTTATTTCCACCACATCTGCAGCTCCTTCCTCTACTGAAGTCCCAAACCCCTCAAAGTCATCCATGAGGGTTACAATGAACCCAGGCGTTCTTTCAAATGCCTGTTAATGTTAATATTCTGGTCTCTTCCCATGAATCACAAATGTTTTTCATGGCACCTAGAATGACTAATCCTTTTCAGAAGGTTTTCAATTTACTCAGATCTATTAAAGGAATCACCATCTAATGGCAGCTATAGCCTCACAAAATGTGCTTTTTACACAATAATACATGAAAGTTGAAATTACTTCCTGATCATAAGCTGCAGAACAAATGCTGTATTAGAAGGCATAAAAACAACACTAGGCTGGGCACAGTGGCTCACACCTATAATTCCCTTGGGAGGCCAAGGCACGAGAATAGCTTGAGGCCATGAGTTTAAGACTAACCTGGGCAACATAACAAGACCCCCATCTCTAAAAAAAATTAGAATAAAAAACACTGGCCAGGCATTTCTAGTTCTACCTACTTGGGAGGCTAAGGAGGGAGAATCACCTGAGCTCAGGAGTTAAAGGCTGCAGTAAACTATGACCATGCCACAGCACTCCATCCTGGTAACAGAGCAAGACCTTGTCTCTAAAAACAGCAGCAACAGCAGTAATTTCCTTGTACATCTCCATCAGTGCTCTTGGATAATGTGGTGCATTGTCAATGAGCAGAAATATATTGATATATTGAAAAGAATCTTTATATATGAGCAGTAAGGTCTCAACACTGGGCTTAAGATATTAGGAAAACCATGCTGTAAAAAGATATGCTGTCATCCATGGTTTTGTTCTTCCATTTACAGAGCACAGGCACAGTAGACTAATTTTTTTTTTTTTTCTTGAGACAGAGTCCCCTCTTGTCGCCCACGCTGGAGTGTGGTGGCGTGATCTCGGCTCACTGCAACCTCAGTCTCTTGGGTTCAAGAGAGTCTCCTGCCTCAGCCTCCCAAGCAGCTGGGATTACAGGTGCCCGCCACCACCCCTGGCTAATTTTTGTATTTTTAGTAGAGATGGGGTTTCACCATGTTGGCCAGGCTGGTCTGGAACTCCTGACCTCAGGTGATCTGCCCACCTTGGCCTCCCAAAAGTGCTGGTATTATAGGCATGAGCCACCACACCCAGCCAAGATTTAGTATAATTCTTAAGGGCTCTAGGATATTTAGAATGCTAAATGGGCACTGACTTCAACAGTCACCAGCTGCATTAGCCCAAAACAAGAGAGTTAGACTGTCCTTTGTAGCTTTGAAGCCAAGCACTGACTTTTCCTCTCTAGCTATGAATGTCCTAGATGGGACTTTCTTCAAATCGAAGGCTGTTTTGCCTACATTGAAAATCTGTTGTTTATTGTAGTCATCTTCATCAATGACCTTAGCTAGATCTTCTGGATAACCTGCTGCAGCTTCTACATCAGCACTTGCTGCTTTACCTTGCATTTTTATTTAATGGAGATGACTTCTTTCCTTCAAGCTCGTGAACCAACTTTTCTTCTGCAGCTTCCTCATTTTTCTCAACCTTCACAGAACTGGAGAGGTAGGGCCTTGATCTGGCTTAGGCTTTGGCTTAAGGGAATGTTGTGGCTAGTTTGCTCTTCTATCCAGACCACTAAACCTTTCTCCGTATCAGCAATAAGGCTGGTTTCACTTTCTTATCATTCGTGTGTTCACTGCAGTAGCACTTTTAATTTCCTTCAAGAACTTTTCCTTTATATTCACAACTTGGCTAAATGTTTGGTGCAAGAGGACTAGCATTCAGCCTATCTCAACTTTGGACACGTCTTCCTCACTAAGCTTAATCATTTCTAACTTTTGACTTAAACTGAGAGACTTGTGACTCTTCCTTTCCTTTGAACACTTAGAAGCCACTCTGTAGGGTTATTAAGCCCAATTTCAATACTGCTGTGTCTCAGGAAATAGGGAGGTTTAAGAAGAGGTAGAGATATGAGGGAACAGCCAGTCCAGTGGAGGAAAGAGAACACGCACATTTGTCAACTAAGTTAATTGTCTTATATGGGCACAGTTTATGGCACTCCAAAACAATCAGAATAGTAACATCAAAGATCACTGATCCCAGATCACATTTGAAATACTGTGCGAACTACCAAAATGTGACACAGAGATACAAAGTGAGCACACACATTAGAAAAATGGTGTTGACAGACTTGCTGGATGCAGGGTTGCCACAAACCTTCAATTTGCTTTTCGTTTTTGTTTTTTAAAAAGGCAGTATCTGCAAAGTACAATCAAGTGAAGAACAATAAAACAAGGTATGCCTACACATTAAATCTACTGGTCTATCTCATACTTGGAATTAATCTTTTAACCCACGTTTGATTTGCAAATTGGTTGAGTTTTGCAGGACCAAATGTTGACGTATTTCATTATTTTTACACACACACGCATATATATTTTCTAATTTCCTTTTCAAAATTACTCATAATCTCCTCAGAAAAGGATTTCAGTCTTGAAGATGCCAATATCCCAGTAGCAGGAACAAGTTTTTAAGTATTTTTATTTTAAATATTTTATTTGGCTTGAAAGTTCAAATTTTATAGCTGTCAACAAATAGAGTTAGCTATTTTCCTTGAAGTGAATGGCTAACTCTGCCAATCCCAAGTTGGACTAACCGTAGTTTGTCTATCAATTAAAAATGGGTTTCCAAGAAAAGAGCTAGTTCAGTTCACAACTCAAACACTCATACAACTGCTTTCCCTCACGATAATCAACCATCATGCTTTGGTATACAGTAAGAGTACTGTAAGTGTATTTCCCATTTGGTCACATGGAATATTAAAGAGATACATATTTATGACTCAGGTTTAATGAAAATAATAATACTTTTTGCTTATTTAGCTTTTTCTTTTATTATAGGTGCACAGTAGTGAAGAATCAATGACTGACTACTAGTACTTGGATCCCTGAATGACCACATGGGGTAGAGCAACTCAGGACTATTTAAAGTTATATTTGTGACATGGGAGAAATAAACATCTGCCTTCATTAAGCCATGGTCAGATTCGCTTTATTTGATCCAAGAGCCTGGTTTTTACGCTGACAATTTTTTTAAAAGCAGACTAGATTTAAATATATAAACAAATATATAAACATGTAAACATAACACACAAAATAAAATAAAGAGTCCCAAAACGTACTTTAAGAAAAAAATGTAAACCCATAAATAAAATGGAAAGGGAAATTACAGAACAGGACAAAAATATTCATAATTAATGACCAGCAAACTAGTTTTAATACATAATGAACAATAATTGACAAGAAAAATATCTATATAAAAAAAAAACAGCAAAAGATACAAAAACAATTCATAAAGGGAAAATAAGCACATATAGTATATTTTAGAGCTATATATATATGTTTATTCACACAAGACAAGTACACGTGAAAAATTACATCGAAGAAATATTTAAAAAAAATAAATTTTTAAAAATTAAAAATCAGAACAATGATCTCTGAGGGAAAAAAGTGTTTATACTGGAGTAATGTAATTTTACTTCTTGAATGTTTCTGTAATTGCCAAATTTTTACACTAATTCAAAATTATGCAATTTATTTAGAAAAAACTGGTATCTCCATGATTAAAGTTGAATAAAATCATCTTTAATTTCCTTTGCATCTACCCATCTTCCCATCTCATTACTCATATACATAAATCTCACTCCTAGTCAAAGCAAATTACTTTTAACTCTCAAAAGTTTCTTGATAACCCCTACCTCCATTCCTTCCCCACACTTTCTCTCAAGTTGGGCCCCTTATCAACATGGGCCCTAAAAATGACCACACCACATTTGGGCAGGAGAGCCTCTGTGGCTGATATTTCCCAACCAAGGCACCTTTAATTTTCAGAGAGTGTGGTAACTGAGTTGACAGACACTGGGATGCTACACGGACCAATGTAACGGTAGGAGAGACGACCAAGACTTAGTAAAAGACTAAGGACTGCACTTAGGGGTAACTCAAGCAGGTAAGCTCCAAGCAAGCTATGAGTTACAGCACCAGAGATTTCAATTGTGATGCCAGGAATACCTAGGTGGAGGCCACCACCTCTGAGACTAGGGAGGCAGAGAACATTACATCTATGGGATCAGACAACTCCTGCTACAATGAGTTTAAGTCACTCTTCCCTCCCTTCCCACCCACCTGCTGTCCCCCACACCAATTGGGGAGAACAGCAGGAGGGGAGCATGGCAAGTGATGAAACATTTTTATCTGAACACTACATAAACGGATTTTTAAAATTATCGGGCAGGACTAAGGTTTAAGCATTTTGCAGTTTTGGGACGTTCTGTAGTTTTTCTCTACTTATCAGAATGTAGGGACTCAGCAGGAGGTAGGCTGAGTACAGGATAAATTATTTTTTTTTTTACTTGACATCTAATCTATAGTCCAAATTAATTACTGTAATCCTATTAAAACATATGCAACAGATTTCTAAGCATATTTTAAAAGTATAGACAAGATATAAAAGACATATATTTTTGTGCTGCCGTCTTCATGACATGGCTTCCACCTCAGATGTAAGATATCTGTCCATGATCCCACCTGTACGTGAACCCTGTCATCAGCAGGAGGGAGAAAACGAGTACGGGAAGTGGAGGAGATGCCCTTTCAGGGCCCCTTAAGGGCACAATCCAGAAGTGGTACCAGTACTCATCACTTCCATTCACAGCCCCATAGGCAGAAGCTTGTCTTCTGGCCTCATTTTGCTTCAAGAAAAGCTAGGAAATACAGTCACTAAATGTGTGGCCATATGCCCAGAAAACAGATGCTGAAGGACACTGGGTATTGGGGGATAACTGGCAGTCTCTGTCATACTCCATAAACCTACTCTTTCCTTTACCCTCTGTTCCATCTTTACATTTTACAAAACTTTTAATACTACGCAAATAAACATGCAAGATGAAAGTTTTTTAAAAAAATTTTGTTTCGGTTTTCCTCGTGAAAACTAAGGTGAATGTCATGGAAAGAAAATAAATAAGGCAAGCTGCTAAAAAGTGTTGTTGAACACGTAAAGGTGAGGTAATTGTTAAGTAGAGAGAAAAAAGGATTTTACAATCTGGAAGGATTCTTCATTCAAGTTGCTTTGCAAGTATCTTTAAATTCTCACTTGAAAGAAACAGAAACTGGAAATAAGGAGTCCATTTTGGTTATGTGAAAAAGACAACTCTGAACAATACTTCAAGGAAAAAAAAGGTCATGACTCTACATCAAAAGATTGCTGAATAAAAGTATACGTTTTTGACTAAAATAAATACTCAAGGTATGCTGGCAATTTTTATTTTGTTTTTAGAAGTTCCCTTAAGACAGGCTGGTTTGACAGACAAAATCTGATCCCATGAGACAGAGGAAACTTCCCTCTGCATATTAACATATTCAAAACTTAACTACCTTCATCTCCCAAATTGAATACTCCTTACAGAACTATTTTTCTAAAATGTTAAAATCTGTAACAACTTTTTAATACAAACTTCTTAGCATGCCATTCCAGCTATTTCTAGAACTGGACCCAAAGGCCTCTCAGTCTCACCTCTTTTTACGAACCTCCAACTATTCACTAGCCATAGAAATCTACCCACATAGCCAGGACAATGTTAAGAAATCTAGTCAAAGTTAAATAACACATAGGTCCTAATTCCAAAAAGCTCAGATTACAAGAAAATGACAGCAAAAGATTACAGAAAGGCTGATATAAATAAAATGTGTACAAGTTCATATATTTCTAAAAGTACAAGTATAGTATACTTTTCATTGGACCACTAGCCTTCCAAATATCATTTTTGAAGACATTTTTCCAGGAAGGGCACACAAATAGGATTATATACAGAGATGTGGTGTACAAAACAAACTATTTCATTTGAAGAAAAGCTGAGGGAGGAAGAAATGTTTAGAAGTAAAAAAGACTAGTGGAAATAAGATGTCTGATAAATAACTGAAGAGCGCTCATATGAAAGAGAAGTCATACTGTGTAACCAAGAGACTGAAATTTAAAATCAAAAACAGAAGTTATACAAAAGAAAATTTGGTTCTGGAAAATATATAATCTAACAATCTGATGCCAGAATCTATAAAACTATATCATCTGTCAATAGGATTGTTGCCCCTTGCACCCTAGTTTTCTATAATACAATAGGAAGCACATAGTTTTGCTAGATGCCATTTTACATCAAGATGTAAATTAAAATAAACATCAATAATAAAAGATGACATTGAGTTCATACATTCTGGCCGTAGTCAGTTTCTGCAAGGGTCAAAGTCCAGTGGAGATCAATAAAAGACAAGCCTTCAATATTTTTCTTTGTCAGCTGTCTTTGCCAGACAAGAGTGAGTCTAACAATGATAAATGATGGTGTGGCTTTCACTAAATCCCTGCACTATTTCACACACACTGACACACAGAGACCTAAAGCTTATAAAGAAGAACACAGAAAAACTTATTGAGGAAATACCCAATAAATTAATAAATTTTTTACAAGGAAATAGGGAATTATTTTTAATGAGGATAAATAATACATCAAATTTATTATTGCCTATAAATTGGTAAGTAAATACTAATCAGAAAAGGCTTACGTAGGTAAAGAGGCATCACACCATAATTTTAATCTGATGAGCTGCAAGAGAAAAAACTATTTTGGTCCTAATTTAACAATATACTTTAGTTTCTAGTTGAATCAGTTGCTCTAGGATGAAGAGAACCAGAAGTAATAAACCTCAACTGTCAACTGAAATTTTTTTCCCAACTGTCTTTACTAAAGCCATAATATATTTACTGTAAAATGCACTGATTTTAGGGATGTCAAATATGAAAAATGTGTATCTTAGAATTAAATGAAATACACTATGTCCCTTTGATCCATCATCACTAATGAAGCTAACTGCCAGGTTAGAGCTTCTAATGTGGTTTGGGTCTGTGTCCCCACCCAAATTTCATGACAAACTGTAATCCCTCATGTTGGAAGTGGAGCTGGTGGAAGGTGACTGCATCATTGGGCTAGATTTCCCCCCTTGGTGCTGTTCTGGCGATAGTGAGTGAGTTATCTGAGATCTGGTTGCTTATAAGTATATATCACCTCCCCGCTTCTCTCTTCCTCCTACCTCAGTCATGTGAGAGGCGCCTGCTTCCCCTTTACGTTCTACCATAACTGAAAGTTTCCTGAGGCCTCCCAGTCATGCTTCTTGTACTGCCTGCAGAACTGTAAGCCAACTAAAACTCTTTTCTTTACGAACTACCCAGTCTCAAGTATTTCTTGACAGCAGTGAAAGAATGGACTAATAGGAATTTTGTACACTTAAGTTTTCAGAGTTAATAGAGGTTAATAAACATGAAAAGATGCTCAATAACATCAGTCATCAGGGAAATGTAAATCAAAACCACGATAAAGGTACTACTTCACACCCACTAGGACGGCCATAACAAAAAAGTAGACAATACAAATATTGGTGAAATGTAGAAGAATTATGGAATCTTCATACACTGCTTGATAGGAATGTAAATGGTACAACCACTTTGGAAAACACTCTGGTATCTATTCAAAAAGTTAAACATTCAATCCTACATACATACGTGATAAAAATGAAATACACTCACATGCAAAAAGTTGTACATGAATGTTTATAGCAGCACTACTCATAACAGCAAAATGGTGGCAACAAGACAACTGTCCATCAACGGATGAAGAGGTAAACTATGTAGCCCATCTGTACGATGGAATTATTCAACTATGAAAAAGAACAAAGTACTGATACATAGGACAATGTAGAAGAACCTTACAATGCTCAGTGAAAGAAGCCAAAGATCATATTATATGATTCCATTTATATGAAATGTCCAAAAATGTCAAATCTGTAGAGACAGAATGTAGACCAGTGGTTGAGTAACGGTGTGGGTTTTGGGGGAAATGAGAAGTGACTGGTAAAGGTAATGAAATTTTTGGTGGTAATGTAAGTATTCCCAAATTGATTATGGTAATGGCTGTACAACATTATGCCTAC